AGGGCATAACTATACTTTTACTTTGGAAAACCACAGGGAAACTCTCATATTATTAATATTATACTAAATACTATATATCAGTATTATTATTATTATTATTAATATTCAGGGTCAGTACGATTTTTATGTTCACCAAGGCTGCATTTATTTGATCAAAAATACAGTTAAAAACAGTAATAATGTGACAATTAAGCTGTTTTTTTCTGTAATAGTGAGTATTCAATTAAAAAAAAATTTCACAGATGTCTAAATTACTACTTTCAATCCTCTGATTGTATCAAAAGGATCCCTTCCATGATTTTAGGCGTCACTCGTTGACAGTGGCACATGCTTGGCTTCATTTAGGCCCTTGGTGAAAGTTGCCCACTCGTTGTTCTCTCTCAAGCTCTCGTGGTGAGGACATATTGATGCTGTTATTCGTGTGTATCCATGCCAGGCTTCAGATCTACACACTCCACTTAAATGGACTCCATATGTGAAACATCTTGAGCGCAGGAGGCTTCTCTCAAATGACCTTATTCTTCAGGAGTAATGCACAGTATATCCTGTATATAGTAATATATAGTATATAGTATATAGTAATGCAAACCCTTCGCTCACTTTTACAGCGCTTACGCACATGTCATCCGGAGCTCATTGTTGGATGTGGTCACTTTATTTGTAGATGTTCACTGGAACTCAGTGATTAACTCATCAATTATACTCTAGGGATCGGATTTATTGAAGCGTTAGCATTCACACTAATCTATGCATGTGGTATTTCTGCCACATGACCAGTCTTAGTCAAACCACACTTGCTGAATGTTTTGTTTCAATCAGGCCTGTTTTCTTGATAAATGTTCAGATTGTTTAGTCAGTTGCTCATCATCTGGTTGTTTTAATGCCTTTATGCCTTTAAAGGGGTCATATGATGCGATTTAAATTTTTCCTTTCTCTTTGGAGTGTTACAAGCTCTTGGTGCATAAAGAAGATCTGTAAAGTTGCAAAGACTAAAGTCTCAAATCCAAAGAGATATTCTTTATAAAAGTTAAGAGTCAACCACGCCTACCTAAAACGGCTCGTTCTAACACGCCCCCACATATCTACGTCACGATGTGGGAAGATTTGCATAACACCCAAGCCCAAATGTTGACGCAAAGAAAGAAGGCGTAACTTTTATTCTCGCTGTAGTATTGTTGCCGCCGCCGCCATGTCCTGAAGACGCTGTGTGCTTCGTTGTAAAAGCGAAACTACTTTGTTTGGTCTTCCAAAAGAGGACGATATCGCTTCGTCATGCCTGGAGCTGATCCGTGCTGGTCGCTGAGGAAATACTTCAACTCCGCGCTGTGGATCGCCGGATCGACTTTCACCGTGGACGAAGCGGAGTCCAGCCCGGGGTCGTCACATGTGGTTGCCGCAGGCATCACAATATGGTAAGGGACGTAACATTTCCGTCACACGCTTGAGGTATTCGGCCAATCACAACGCACTGGATAGCTGGCCAATCAGAGCACACCTCGCTTTTTCAGACCGATGAGCTTTGTAAAAATCGACGCGTTTCAGAAAGGCGGGGCATAGAGGAGAAACAATAATGTACAGTATGTGGAAAATTTGTTTTTTGAACCTTAAACCGCATAAACACATTTCATTACACCAAATACACAAAATAATGTTCTTTTTAGCAACATCGTATGACCCCTTTAAATGACAATGGTTTGCCTTTAAGATATTATTTTGATTTCAAAAGTTGTTGGGGATAATGTGAGGCCAGAACAATAAACAAGTTCATGAATAGAGGCACTTCTAGTAATCTCGATTCACAAACCACTACGTTCCTAACTGTGTCAGAGTACAGTTCATAATGCAACGCGAGGACATTTTGCATTGTCAGCATTGCCACAGTGTTTTTTACCAGTTAAAAAAAAAACACATTACAAAGCACAGGGCCTAGATGTAAGCATTACATTTCCGGTTTCAAGAGTAGCGACAGGATAAACATTACATTATACATGTTGTAATGAGACTAGTGTGATAAATTACACTACCATTCAAAATTTGGTTGTACTTTTCTATGTTTTTGAAAAAAAAAAGTATTTTATGCTCACCAAAGCTGCATTTATTTAATCAAAAATACAGTAAAAACAGTGCTGTTGTGAAATATTATTGCAATTAAAAATAATTGTTTATATTTTAATATATTTTAAAATGCATTTTATTCCTATGATGGCTAAGCTGAATTTTCAGCATCATTCCTCCAGTCTTCAGTGTCACATGATCCTTCAGAAATCATTCTAATATGCTGATTTGCTGCTCATTGGAAAACATGATTTTTTAAAGATTTTTTTATTAATAGAATGTTCAAAAGAACCGCATTTATAAGAAATATTTTGTAACATTATAAATGTCTTCACTGTCACTTTAATGCAGCGATTTATTCCTTGCTGAATAAAAGTACACTGACAAAAATTTTATGTAGAATTTACTTTAATTTTCACTAGAAATTGTGAAATTGTTAATTTCACAAATAATTGCAAAGAAACAAGTAACACATTTAAATAAACATTATATTTTTAAGTAAAAAAGACTGAAATAGTACTTTCTTATAAAATGCACTCCAATAATATTTGCTTTGTTTAACCTCAAAAAATCGTGTATTATTACTTTCTTAAAAAAAAAAAAATTCTCCCAAATTTTGGAACGGTACTGTCTATTGAGTCTTTCAGCTGCATCACAATAGATAAAACTGGTAAATTTTGAAATGTCAAATAAACTGTGGACCCCATTGACTTTCATTATATGGACAGCAAAACATCGAAACATTCTTAAAAATGATGACAGAAGTTTAATTAATCCTTTAACTATTGAATTCGGAATTTATATAAGTTTGTTAAGCAAATTCATGCTTGCTATGCATTGATCATACACAGTGCTGGGTAATAACTGATTACATGTAATCTGTATTACGTAATCAGATTCCAAAAATGTAGTAGTTGTATTACGTGATGTTGATAATAAAAAATGGAATATATTTGATTTCTCTTTAATAACAATAATCCCATTCAAATCTATAAACAAGTTACAGATCATAAGTAATCTAAAAGTAATCCAAACGTAATCGGAATACATGAACTAAAATGAGTAATCTAAATTACATTACTGACTACAATTTTTCCTCATGTAACTTGTAATGAGTAACAGATTACAATTTGTGAGTAATCTACCCAGGACTGATAATGCATTTGCATACTTGTATACAGTATGTATCTGAGATTTCTGGTGTTGTGTGGAGTCGTGTAATACAGATCCGTGAGTAGAGTTTGAACTGGAAGCCAGATGAACTTGTCAGTGCAACATTTCCCAAGGTCAATAAATGTTCATTTAGACAACATCTCATTCTTTCTTCATGCAATGTTTTGCCGTCTTTGTGAAATCTATAGCTGCAGCCTGATGGGAGACTCCAGCCTGAGCGTCGCATGGAAATCTGCTCCACGATTTAGCGGCGTCTCAACCTCAGGGGAAGTGGCTTACTTTGCTTGGCTCCTGTTGAGCTTTGACTGGATGCTGGCCAGCAAGGGGAGTAAAGTTTGCCTCTCGGGTTGCTCCTGTAAACACAGCCCTGGCTTTGATTTCATAGCTCCTTCTCGTTAGCCCTATTGGGGATGAAATGGAGGTGGTGGTTGGGGGTCCGTGATTTGTGATCTCTCAATAAATATAAATGCTGATACCACCTTGGAAAAGCCTTGTGTCTACTAAAAGATCAAAGTTAATGCTCACTGTGAGAGTGGTGGAGTCATTCAAACTGACGGATGCATTGCAGACCCTTTCTGCAGGATTTGTAGTAATTCCTCTCAGCTTTAGGCCATTTCCATGTTGTCTTGTCAACTCTTTGTACAGTCTTTATTCTTTATTGTCACTGGTAGGCTATATTTTCAACTTGTTAAATTAGGCAAATTGTTAAATTATACCAACCCACAATTTTTTATTTTTTTTTGCTTTATGACATTACTTTCATGATATTTAAGCACATTCTCACTCAATACCATAATACAATTCTATAATTCTCATTACTCTAATGCAAAAAAATTGTTGATTATATAATATTTTTATTTTATATTGTTATATTTTATTTTAATTATATATTTATTTTAATATTATATGTATATATCTGTGTGTGTGTGTGTGTGTGTGTGTGTGTGTGTGTGACCCTGGAGCACAAAAGCAGTCTTAAGTCGCTGGGGTATATTTGTAGCAATAGCCAAAAATACATTGTATGGGTCAATATACAATGTATAAACAAACACACACACACACACACACACACATATATATATATATATATAATATTAAAATAAATATATAATTAAAATAAAATATAACAATATAAAATAAAAATATTATATAATCAACTATTTTTTAGCATTAGAGTAATGAGAATTATGAGAATACTGTGTATATATATATATATAGAGAGAGAGAGAGAGATGTATTAAAGTATGTTTTTACATTTATTTATTTTTTTTATAATGCTAAAAATAGTATTTGGAAAATGTCCTGGCAGAAAATTACAGCACTTTTAATTTTTGCATCATAATCACTGCATCATAAAATGCATTTATGACACTGCATAAAAACTCAAAAGTACACATATTATGATAATGAATTAACAACAATTTTACAAATGCATTGCGGTCCTAAAATAGGCATAATTTTCTTGTTATTTTGGGTTGAAATATGACCTTAATGTGTTTTTTTTTTATGAGATTCATCCATCAAGATAATTTACTAACAATATAATTGAGCATTAATCATTCTCTCCTCAATTTGGTTTCAATTAACTACATTTTCAGTCAACAGAAGAGGAGAGAAATAGGGAATGAGTTTTTGAGTCCCTCCCACTAAGCTCCCCTGGGTCTGAGGCTCATTGACACATCAGCACAGAGAGAGAGAGAGAGAGAGAGAGAGAGAGAGAGAGAGACTGGCAGAGAGACTGCACAAGAGGAGAGTTTGGAGACCGAGCCGGTGACACAATGGAAAAGACTATGAAGCGAAAAGTGAGCTATTAATCCAGCTACTATCAGTGCAGAATGACTACATCAGCAGCACTCAGCCCACCATGAAAGATCACTGCTCCTCTATCTGCACCAATCCCGCCGGACCACCTTTTCGGGCCAAGCAGCAGAGGCTGGATCCTGAATACGTATCCGTGTGTCTCTTACCAGATGAATCCTACCAGAAGCTGGCCGTGGAGACCATGGAGGAGCTAGACTGGTGCCTGGACCAGCTGGAGACCATCCAGACGTACCGCTCCGTCAGTGACATGGCCTCCAACAAGGTGAGATGGCAGCTCGTCTACTCCCACTTCACCTCTGCGTTGCTGCAAACAGCAGGGCATCTTTATGCATGTTTTCACAGAAATTCAAATTTCAATACTCTTAGAAATAAAGGTTCTTTATTGGCATCTGTTGTTCCATAAAGAACCTTTAACATCCATGGAATCTTTCCATCGCACAAAAGGTTCTTTATATTAGAAAAAAGGGTCTTTCGATGTTCTTTACACTAAGAAAAATGGTTCTTGAACTGGGGAACCACAAAAGGTTCTTCTATGGCATCTCTGCAAAACCCCTCTTTTGGAACGTTTATTTTTTTATGAATGTATTGCAAACTTTGTTTGTTTGAGAATTTTCTGTTTGTGTTAGAAGAGTAGTTTTTGTTGCTTTCACATTTGTCTGTAATTTCGAGGCCTAACAAGTCAAAGTTTTGTTGGAATATCAATGAGATGCAATAAGGAGGATTTGACAATCTCTTGTGGCATTCTGCAAATTCTACTTAAAGGGATGGTACAAACAAAAATGATAATTCGGTCATCATTCACTCACCCTCATGTCATTGCAAACCTCTATGCACACAAAAGAAGATATTTGGAAGAATGATTGCAGTCAAACACTTTTGGTTCCCATTGACCTCAATTGTATTTTTTATCCATACAATGCAAGTCTATGGAAACCAGAGCTGTTTCGTTAACAACATTCTTCATTTGTATCCAGCAGAAGAAAGAAATTCATACAGGATTTTAATGACATGAGGGCGAGTAAATTAAAAAACTAAACTATCGCTTTAAGTATCTTTTATGATGATTTATATCTGATATTCAGAGTTATTAGTTGCTTGTCTTTGACAATGTCCGAACATTTTAGTCATCTTATTACCAGAGTCTGATGGTACTGGTTAGCTCTCTAATGCAGTTTTGAATTCTGGATTTTTTTTGTGTTGATACATGAATACAGCATGTGGTTGGTCTTGTAGAACAGTGTCTATGAGGTTAATACGTCATTAATGATGAGATGTTGATGTGAAATCTAGAGATATTGCCACATTTATATGTCAACAGGAAATTGTGCAATGAGAACTTGATTGATTGCCCGATTGTTACCCAAAGAATTACAGAGGAAACGTTGAAAATAATGTACATTAAATATAATATCTTAGTTTATATCCAGTTTGTTGTCTTGATGAAAGGCACCTGGCCCAAACAATTATTTTATCTTATAAGTGACTATTTCAAAATAATTTATTATTGTTGCTTTATTATTTATAGTTGAATATTTTTTTTGAACTGGAAAGCAACACGTAATGAAATTCAGCTACATTGTGCAAGTCTACAATTCACGTCATAAAATATGAAAGACAAAAGATTGAGTCTTCTTGTCATGCCTTTGAAGTTCTCTGAGTAGTAATTGAGTGATTTGTGCAGAGGTGTAAAGTATTGGAGTAAATGTAATTAGTTACTGTACTTGAGTATCTTTTTGGATACTTTGTAGCTGTACTGAGTATCAAAGATATTAGCAACTTTTACTCTCTACTTCACTACAATTTTGAATGAGTATCTGAACTCTTTACTCCACTACATTTTAAATGAGTGTTGCAGTTACACATTACATTTTGCATGGACCTAGCTTTTTCTGGGTTAAAATCCGATATTCTAAGGCTTTTACTCAATTTGTTTTGGAATTGGTGACTTGTAACGTGTAGTGGAGTAATTTTCACTGTAAGGTATCTGTACTTTTACTCAAGTATGGTTTTTGGGTACTCTTTACACCTCTGGTGTGCAGTCAACATGACTAGCGTGGTCTCAGCGCGCTTCTACCTGAGGCTGCAGACAGAAAGAGGGAGGGAGGCGCTGTGAGTCGTGAGGGAGGAGGGCACGTCGACAGCGAGCTGAATCACTCAGCACTTTGTCTAACGCATTTCCTGACACCCGTCAAAGTGAGCTCACAGGCACTCCCTTGCCACATGCTCACCAATAGTGCACGAAACACCATCGCTGCAACAATGGGACTATGCTACTCAGAGAAAAGGAGAAAGTTTGGTGTGCTAAAAAGCTGGACAGAGGTGAGTTAGTGCAAGGTTTTGTGGGATTTTTGAACAAATTCTGGCTTTGCTCTGGGTTTTAATGCTGAAGCAATTGATTTCATCTGTGTTATTGGAGATTGGTTGTCCTCTTTTGTTTAAGGTATTGGCTTATGCTTTATGTCGTTATAAAAAATGTGAACATATAAGCTCAGAATTGTCTTTAATTTCTGGAGGTTTAAAAATGTTTAGATGTGTGCAAAAATTATAATAGATTAGCAGTTTGATTTAGCTAGTTAGATTTTATTTTACAGCAACACTTTTAATTATACACTCTAAAAAATGCTGGGTTAAATACAACCCAGTGCTGGGTAAAATAGGGACAAACCCAGCAATTGGGTTGTTTTGAC